AATTTAACTAACGTGATAATAAGTTTTATTATTGGGTAGTAAACGAGCAAGTGGTCACCTGAATTCGCCGAAACGGCGAAGCGACCACCGCCCAAAGAATACGTACTTGCAGAAGCGTTGCCTTCCTTTATTTGATGGAGGAGGAGATGCACAGAAAGAGAAAAATTTCCCTTCACATGCGTTTTTTCTAGGAAAAAGGTGAAAAGGGAAAGAGGCCTAAAATTATGCCTCAGAGACGCACACTCATCCGAAGAAACTCGGAATTGTTTCCACTTGTCGTCTGTTTTTTGTGTTGTCGTGGTGTTCTACCGGGTGAGCCGACACATTCGTGAAACAGATGTTGTTGTTGGTATCTACTACTGTTAAAGCTTTATTTATTAAGTAAACGGAAAACTGAAGTTCCGTAATATTGATTGTATAATTAAGATAAAATAATTGACTTTTCTATTTTCAAAATCACTTCTACCATAGGTCACTAAGGTACAAAAAAACAAAGTTCAGTCAGATAGAAAACGTCGTTGTACTTGTGATAATTACAATCGGTTGCGTGTGAAACTTAATAAAAGGATATTGTTCAAACTTCAAATATTTAGCAAACGAAATTTCCAATATTGCATTTACATAAATAACACGATTGTAAGCAATCTTTTAATAATAATATGCATATATATACCTTGATTGAGGATATAAGAATATTATTTCGAGAAATTACAAATTGTCTTCCGATTCTATAGATTTGATTCGTAGTATAACGATATTTATAGACAAAAAATGTTGTGTGTCTATGATTTATTACAACTCTTGAAAGATATACGACTTTAGTATTACTGTCGGAAGTGACATGTTAAGCAGTTTTATTAAACCTTATATAGAATTAATATTATTGTAAATGCATGTAAAAACGCTATCCCTATGTATATAGCTAATATATGTCACATATGGATCATCATAATCTATGCATATTTTAAAAGTTACATTACATTTCAACATGTGCAGTTGCCCTGATAAATATTTAAATATAATAATTAATATTATTATGGTAGTAGTATTATGATAATGCTTTAGAAACCTGTTTGATGTTTTCTCGACTTTGTGCAATTTTCCTATATTGTTCAATTTAATATAATACAATAAAATCCGCGTATAGCGTCGGTGGCTCAGTGTTAAGCACTTGATTTGCAATGCAGGTACTGGGTTTCGAATCCCGCCATGTACTAATGTGTTTTGCGATTTCCGATTTACATATTTACATTTATCTGGCGTTCTTACGATGAAGCAAAACATCGTGATGCAACCTGCACATATCTGCGAAGAAATTCAAAGATATGTGTGAAGTCGATCAACCCGTACTTGGCCAGCGTGGTGGACTATGGCCTAGTCACCCCTAACTTAGGGTAGGCTCCGAGCCTCTCAGTGGAGACGTATAGTGAGCTGATGATGTTGATATGGACACACTATAATTATATGTCGAATTTCGAAAATTCATTCTCTACATAAATTGTTGCCGTGATATTATGAATTGTCTATACTTGTAACTGTAATGGTGTAATTTGCTAAACCTCATTACTCCAATAGTCTATTACTTCGACTGGATAAAAAAAAAACTAATATTAAGTTTATGTACAGACATCATTTACCCGATAGATTAGATTAAAATAAATACAAAATAATAATACGCGTCAATAGTAACACATTATGGACACATATATGACTTTCACTTTGGAACTACTAGCCATTAATCAACTTTGTTCTGATTACCATATAATTTCTTGTCTGTTTCTAAAGAGTTAAGTAAACGACCAAAAAGTTTGCACAACTCCCAAATTGCAATGTCTATTGCTCGTCTGATGGAATCGCGTAAATCATAATTGCATAGCAAACTACGATTATGCAATGTGAATATGTGCCAGTAAGATGCTGTGTTATGAAATAAAAACAGCTGTAACTGCCCAAAACTTGATCTAAGGCCGTTGACTTATTAATTGACATTTAATTATATGACGTTTTCTATGGAACCGGTTTGATTACGGAATGTATATGTAGAGACCAAGGTTTCTAACTATATTCGAAGGGTAGAGTGGTGCCCTTTATACTAAAAATAGTATACCAGGTTCATATTCAAATGTCTCTTAGATACGAAAAGAAATATTATTTAATTGTGAATATATAATAAAAACATTGATTATGTTATAACAATTTTAATATGGAAATTAAAATTTTTATTTATTTTTATTATTTATGCACAAGCGAGGAAAAACTAAAGTAATACTAAAAGCGGTGAATGTACAACTTAAGTTTATATTAAATTTTTTAATATAAACTTTTTACGTGAAAAGTCAGATATGATTATAATTATTGTTCACGTGCTGTTGAATCACGTTATCACGTGTCATTCTTATTTCTTATTTGAATCTTTTAAAAGACAAATAAATTAGAGCCGACAAAATCCAAAATCATTATCAGAAGAACCATTATTTTTAATTTCAATAGGAAGTTTACTGAGTTGTTTTGTAATAAAGTTTTGTTTGACCTTACCTTTTATTTAGGTCGAGTATAACCACTTGAATCTAATAGAGAACCTTTGTAATAAAATTTTATTTATATGATATGTTGTTCGCTACTGGGCACGTTTACTTAACTAATTGGTTAAGTGTTGCGTGAAGTTGACATCGTTTATAATATTCTAAATCTTTAGTTTGGTTCTTTAAAATTTATACAAATGTTTTTAATAGAATGTGTTTTCAGAAACGAAGTTGCTTAATTGTGCAATGCAGAGCATATGCATCTTACTAATTAAATCCGTATGGATGGATGTTTGTTAGAAGGCAACTCCGCAACTGTTTAACGGATTTTGATTAAATTTTGGTACTTATGTAGAACATGGTCTGGAAGAACACGGAGTCTTATAATTTTATAATTATTATGGAGATTTCTAATATCGCGCAGATGGAGTCGCGGTCGACATCTAGTATGCACGTGTAAAGCCGGTGTGTTGAATTATGTACAACTTAAATATGTCATATAAATAATTAAAAAATTTAAAGCCACAAAAATCGATGTTTATTTCATTATTGAAATTCGATAGTTTTATTCGCAGGAAAGAAATTTGCATGTAATTAAATATTTATATATTACTTGTACGGATTTCTAATTCTTAGTGTGGGACCAGGGTCTATGACTTCTTGTATCACTTTAGGAAATTGTACCTTTCGTATTGATGAAATGTCGTTGTATTTGAGATCAAGGAAGCTAGTTTTTACCCGTCCAACTTCATTAAGTACCCAATTTTAGCTAAAAACATTGAAGATTAATGTGCAAATTAAGTGATTTCCTTATGAGAATTTGCGTTAAAAAAATTAAGTATTGCTTTAATCGATAATTTATTTACCTAAAGTAGTAAAGGACGGAAATTTTTTCATGCTTTGTGTCTATTGCGTCATATTGTAAATGATTCAGCGTTCAATATCTGTACAAGTGATATAGCCGAAATACCCACTAGAAAACAAATTTGATGACAACTATTAGAATCACTGTAAATTGTACATTTCAGCGTCGAACCAATTTGAGCTGGATAACTACATAAAATTGTTGATTATATGCATTAAAATGAATAACAGAAAAGCTGACTGAAAATTAATTTTGTGATCAAAGATTATAAATAATTTATAACGCTTTAATGTTGGCTTCTTAATAAGAATGTAAAGGCTATAAATATAATAATAAGTATAATAAACGATTGACATTTGTCGGGCGTCTCGTCGTCCTGGTGATTCTATTAGACATATCGTTTCCGACTTCTCGACTAACGAACCCTGCATACTTGCATGGGCACAACAAAATGGCCAAGATCATCCTTCAAAAACTTGCCCTTGCTTAAATGAAACTTGCCCTTGTGGATACTGAGGTACCATATTACCAATACCAATCTTCACCTGTTCTGGACAATAGCTACATCACGCTCTACTGGAATCTTTTATTTCGGATAGGAATTATGCTCCCAATAGGCCCGATATAGTAATAATAGACCGGCCTGAGAGTTGTGTAATGTTAGTCAACGTCACTATTCCACATGACGAGAATCTCGTAAAAACTGAAAACGATAATTTGCTAAAATACTTAGACTTGACTCAAGAAGTTACTTCCATGTGGCGTATGAAATCAACTACCATTATTCCGATAGCGAAGAGCTTCGACCAACATTTTAAGAAGCTCTTCCTCAACAGGTGTATTAAGGGCCCGATACAAAAGGCAGTTATTTTAGAAACCGTGCGCACAATGAGAAGGTTCCTGTCTCAGAAGCCCTGACCGCTGATCGCTTGAGTCATGGAGTTCCGCAGCCGGTGGTCCAATATATATATTTTTTAATTTATATTTAAAATAAGAGAATAAATGAATATGTAATTATAAAGGTAATAAAATGATAGTAATAAACTAATAAAGGTCAAAAAATTATACATACTTGTTATTATTATCCAGTATTCAGCAAATTAGATAATTACTACGATCCACGAGTACTTATAACTTAATCAAATAATTTATATCACTTAAGAGTATTAATAAATTGGCAGTAAAACGTAGTTAATATTCCAATGTCTTTTGCAGTAGCTTTTATAAATGCCACTTGAAAAGTACCGGTTAAATATGAGGCCGAAAATCTAATTGTAGTCCCCTACTTTGAAGTGTTACCAGCGCTGTCGGAGTGGATGTTTAACATTAAGAGAACATTATTTTTATGTAAATGCTTTCCATTGTAAATGCAACGCTATTCAAACCTTCTAAGAAGCAGATAATATATTTGGCCTTGTAAAATACGGATGAATGTAAATGGTTTTTTTTATATCAAAAGGTGACAAACGAGCGAGCGGCCACCTGAAATCGCTGAAATAGCGAAGCGATTGCTGCCCATAGACATACGCAACTGCATATGCGTTGCCTACCTTTAAAATGATGTAGAAATACTTGTAGCAGTGAATTATTATAAATTGTAAAAAGATACTTACCTAATTTTAATTTATGAATAGTGAATGTATTGATGCAGCATTTTATGTCATTGAACTCGAGGTGCACGGTGGAGCGCGGCATTAGGGGCTCCACGTTGTTATTACCGAGACCCACCATGGCGTGATCTTCTACAACGCCCGGTGTCATTTTGACCACTCAACTGTCACTTTCACCGAATTACGTTCGCTTTTAAGTTTCAACGCACACTTTCTATTACACAGGATTCGTATTTACTCCTCTCACTTGCACTTTGTTACTGTATTTATTTGAATATTTCACACATATGATGTTAATCTTTCTCTAGTCCACACTCTTCAAACGGTGCAGTGGAAATGATGGGATGCACTCTGTGAACAAAGAATATAATGAATGTTTTATATTTAAAAGGTCGTATAGATGTTTGCTATGCTTGATAATTGTTAATTAGTTTAAATGTTCTCGTTAAAATGTTTGCGAGACGAACAGCTATCAGTTGTTCCAGACTAATCTATTTATGTTGTGAGTAAGGTTATTAGCATATAGGTATTTATGACATTAACGTCTTGTTTCAGTCTGTTTATATCATATCGGGTTACTATGAATAGTTTTGAGAGACTTTGACAGTCAATAAATTACCATCATATGGTTTTCTATTAGCTTTTTGAAACATCGCAAAATGTTTATCACAATGTACGGCAAAATACGGGAAGCGTCGGAAGACAAATCAAGGTTAGGAATGCGACCTTGCCACGTTAAACTGCGGATGATGATTTGTTCCAACATTGAACCTTTATCAGCTCTGATAACGGTATTAAACTAGCGAACATTTCCGTCAACATTTACAACTATTATGTGTTCACTAGACACTCGGATAATCTCGATAACAAATAATGTTCTGGAATACACAACCCACAAGTAAATCAAACGAAAACTGAAGTTTCTGTTCATATTGTTAAGTAGCGGTCGCCCGCGACTTCGTCGGCGCGGAACTATAAAAAGTTGCCTATAATATGTCCGCGTGCGTTAGCTACCTTATCTTTCTAATCCAGCCATTACGGAGATTACTCGGAACAAATGCGACGGAGACAAAATTAAAAAAAAAATGGTGCTTAACAAAAGACTCGCCTCTAACAATGTGTATTTGATTTTAGAATTTCATATGATTTACACTTATCCAACGTTCTTACAGTAAAGAAAAACGTCGTGATGCAACTTAAATGTATGAGTGAAGACATTTAAAGATATGTGTGAAAAGTCTATTAACCAGTACTGGGCCAGCGTGAGTAACCCCTAACATATAGGTTCGATTCCAAGCCGTCGGTGCGAACATGTATAAACTGATAACAATTTATGTATTAAGTATTCTCACATCAAAGTAAAATAGTATATCTATAAAAACAAATTTCTCCTTAACTATTAAATGAACAGATGGATATGCTAGTCATGAGACACTTCCCAGAGCTCTGACTCACAGATAATACAATGCAGTTAAATTGTAAATAATAACAAGTGGAGTGTTTGTTTCATTGTTTAAACATCTTTTGCTACCCTCTTATCTTTCCAAAGAAATACATAAGTTAATTGTGATTAATGTTTACTATTTTAATGATGTTACGTTATACATCTTAAATCGTATAAATAAGTATATACTTTAAATTAATTTTAACAAGTTCTTGATTTGTCCAATGATTTGCGAAGGTCACTCGGCCTACTGATACCGATAAGGTATTAAGTTGTTTGAATTATATTTACATACGTATTTATTTAATTTCATTTTCCTGCTAAGGAATTTATAATTTTGGTAAATCTTAATAGCAACAAGTATTAAGTAAACGCTGTGTTATCATGCCATGTTTGTTTTTGTTAGACACGACCAATATAAATAGAAACATTAAAATTTTTGGAAGTTTGTAAAAAACTACAAGATAAAAAACTTTCATTAATATAGGATCTAACATTAAGTTTATTAAACTAAATATCCATTTTTGGGAAGTAGAGATGGACAGCTAATGTTTAAATTCGCGGATAGTGTTCGCAACCTCTATTATAGAAATTCTATTAGGACGATGGAAGTGGGAATAATACATTAGGCTGATACAAAGTTAACCGTGCGATATTTGTAACAGAGTGATATATGTTGGTATGATTAACAATCTCATTACGCACGCCATGAATCAATTTTGTATCGCGTAGTGACGCGTATGTGCGTATCTCTTGAATTTCAATTGAACTGCGTCGCTATGTTCGCGCCGAATAAATCGATTGACGCACTGAATATGATTTGGATTTCTGTTTCTAACGAGTTATTTTTTTTTAATATTTTACCTTATAACATTTTTACTATGATAAAAGCGTTGAAGGAAGATGTGAAAAATTCTTTATCGATCAATATTTTGTAGTTAAGAGTGGTGGAAGTTTCCATGATTAAATATTATATAATTTTTGTCACAATGAGAATACCATAATTTTGTTGATTTTTTAACTACCTTGATAAATACTTAACGTAAATTTTTGTGAATTTGAGAAGCACATTTTTAAAAATAAGAATTCAATATCGATTCTGGATGCGACGTAATTAGTCGCAATGACGTTGTTTTCGTTGTCCGCTTCCTCTTGACTCTTAGGTCATTTGTACACAAGGCTGCGTAAATCTTTGGAAACTCGGGGAATTTAATCGCCAAAGCTACCTGCTAGCTACCTGTTTGTTAAGATTGTCATGATAGAAGTCGATGTGATTTTGTGTAGCAAATCTATACAGTTGACATTTTGTAGATAATTGAGTCAACGTTTCAACGTTGTGTGTACGGAGCGGTCGTTTCGCGATACCCGCAGGTCTATAATGTAAGTTTCTGAGAGTTACGTTTCTTTGTGTACGATAGGTTTTAATTTACTGTCCTATGATAGTTATGTTTTAAACATACAATTATTTATATAGGAATCATGGGTTTATGTAAAATCACATACAACATTTTGTTAATTTATAAAGGCAGTAAAATATAACATGTTACATAGTGTATCTTATCAAATAATATTATTATTAAAATGATAATTTAGGAAATGTGACTGAGCAGCGATTAGAATTTGCCGCGTCCTTCTTAATCATGATTATTCTAATATCTCTTTAAATGTTTCTAATATTTGAGTAAATGGTGTCATACTCCATTTTAGCAGCTATTTTAAGCACGGCTCGTTACTTTAGTATCAGTTATCTACTGCGTCTCTCTTTAGTATTTATTCATATGACTACGCAATAAGTTATTTTATAACAATAATATATTTATTGGTAATGTTTAAATTACAGGCCATAGAGAAAAAAAAATCACTGATTTTTTTTATACGAATACAGAGCTCTCTCGACAATCACTGATTTCAATCTATTTTTGAATGATGCGAGGCTGGGTGATGAATGATTATTAATAATCATTCGGTACATTTGTTGATTAAGACAGGATCAATAAATGTTCAGACTATAACATAGTTTTTATGAGACAATTTTTTATTATTTACATCTTTTTATTTTATAGAACAATAACTATTTTAGTAAGTTCTAGCTTTATATATTTAAATAGAATTGGATACTTTTGGGCGTTATTTGTAAAACAAAATAGAAAAAAGAACTATTATTTTAAATCATACTAATATTATAAATGTAAATGTTTGGATTGATGGATGGATCTTTGTTTGAAGGTATCTCCAGAACTGCTAAACTGATTTCGATGAAATTTGGTAACATAGCCTGGAAGAGCACATAGGCTACTAATTATTAACTCATAAAACATGTCGGCATTATCTTGACATAAGCCATTATTATGCTAACTTTAACTTATTACAAAAGTTTGGATGGTGAGGGGGGCGGTAGGAGATAAATTATAAGATTAAGTAGTGTCACAACATATTGTATATAAAAGTATCATTAAGTACAAATGATGTGTAAACTTAAACGGCCCGGCATTTTTTATCCGTGCAGTAAAAAATGGAAATACTCTTAAATGAGATATTATCAAAGACTAGTTGTCGTCCGCGACGCAGACCGCGCAGCTTTAAAAAAAATTAGTAGCCTATGCGTTCTTCCAGACTATGTTCTATATCTATGCCAAATATCAGCAAGATCCATACAACCGTTCTGGAGATACTTTCAAACAAATATCCATCCATCCATCGAAACATTTCCATTTATAATATAAGTAAGAAGTATAGGAGGAATAATGACGTTGTTTGTTTGTCGTAGCTTACCTGTAAAACTATTGCGCCGGTTATATGATTATTTCAACACCAGAAACTTTCTATACCCAGAAATACCTTTGGTTTTTTATTAGGATAACAGTTTACTGATTCAACGTTAATCATACCTGGGAGGAAGTGCCTTGTTGTGGGTAGTAAAACGAGTATTATAAAGTATTAACCGAACATTAGGCTAAAATGATTCTTTGCGGTAGATATGAAAAATAGAATCATCTTGTATTCGAAGTTATGATTCAAACACTAATATGTTCAAACGTTACCTGGCCGATTTGATTTGTTTATAAAAATATGACCTTGTCCTTGCCCTCGTACCCATTGCTCAGTAGCGTGGCTGATGAAAAAAACAACCATGGCATGACACGGACGGAGCGGACGAAAAAAAAATCTATTTCACCTATATCTATATTCCCATTGTTCAAGTACGCGTGGGACGAACACCGCTGTAGTACAATTGTAATCGCAATTTGTTGATTGCAGATGGTCATGTCCATTATTCCTATAATACGAGGCCATTTGAATGATAAGAGTTAAAAAAATATCGGTGATTTCTATTATATTATCTGGAAATATTTAGAAAGCTGTAGGTTTATTGTGTAGTAAAAAGGGTCCAGACAAATAGACGGACAGACAACAAAATGATCCTATAAGGGTTCCGTTTTTTTCCTTTCGAGGTACGGAACCCTAAAAATGATAAAAATACTTTTGAACATCAAAAATTTTGGTGTCATTTAGTTATTACAAAAAATACATGAACCTTAAAGCGGAAAGCGTACAGGTAAGCCACGAGAACAAGTGTTTCGGGAAACCCATCGTGAGAACAACAGAGAGTCTGTGAAATACAACAGAGAAATCGTGAGTCAATATAAAGAAATATTTTATTATAATAACTATGAACTCATCGAAGAACGTCTGCAAGTTGGAATATGTAAATCTTTGACTTATGTGATGGGACATCTATTAAATTTAAATTAAAGTGTTCACAATTTTCTGATAAATGCTTTTAATAAGATGTTTATTAAAACAATTGAACGAAAGGTAAAGAAAGACATCAAAAAACAAAAGATATTGGCCTACAATTTTTAAATTAAGATCAGTAAATACTTTTGCCTATAGAATCGATGTTTGGCTATAATTATACATTGTGTGCAACTTTGACATACCGAGATATTAGTGCCAAGTGCATACTGAAACCATAACCCAGCCGCATGGCTGGCGATTACGATGACGTAATTATTGTTGCAATAGTTTGATAATTGCTTAATGTTTATAAAATATAGCATGCTCTTTTGGATTTGATTCTAAAATCTGTGTTTACCAAGAAAGTAAATCTTATAAAACTTGGTTAGTTTGCTCTTTATTATTTGTGTGCCCATAAACTTATCAATAACTAGGATAATTGTTTCACAGAATTTTATTAGGATATGAAATATGATTCAGAACATAACATAACGTTGCATGTGTTATGTTCTGTTCTGATTCATATTCCAAAGAATTCCATTCATTGTTAATGCGTATGTAAATTCGTTTGGGTGCATACATGTTTATCATTTGTTTATTGTAAACGATTCGAAACAAGTGTTATATACTCGTATTGTAATAATTTTGGTTATATAGATTTTTGTCGTTATCCTGTCTTTGGCAATTCTACGAGGACATATGCCGCGTTCAGCTGTAGTTTATTAATATCTGTGAATACCACACAAGTTTGTTACTACGTACACATGTTTACAGTCTCCAATCTAAATTTGGAACAACTATGGCAGCATGAAGTTATTTATAGCTAGTCATATGGTATAGTTCATACATACACAATATAGTGTGAAGTTCATAATTGTATATGAACTTGTAGAACGTAATCTATTTCTATGTTTTTCCCTCCATTTTAGCATGTTCTTTTTTCCTTACATTATTATCTAATTTGAGATTATCAAACGAGTTTTCCTTCTAAATGGATTAAATGAGTTTATTGTTATTATTTCATACTTCTATAGTCACTCAAAACTCAAAAGCCACTCGACTGATTTTTTTTGCAATTAGAAAGATTCGTCGATACTGAGTAACGGGCTATATTTATTGGTCTGTGTTTATTATTTTTTTATCTTGGTGCGTACCAATTTTAGCAAGTACGTGTCAAATTAAAATTATACCGTTATCCATTGTTAGGATTTGAATTCCACGTGTATTTGTGAATAAAATTTTTATATAGGGTCGTAATGTTCAACATATATTGATTGTTGCGTGGCGCTGTTCAAACCACTTCCGGAGTCTTTTGTTTCCAGTAGGTTCATTGTTGAATGTTTCTAGGTATGTGTGAAACAATGAATACATCAACATTGTTTCCAATTTCCTCGAGTTTTTTTGTATTAAATTATTTAAGTTGTTGATTTATACAAAAGACACATGTTTTATCGGACACCTAAAATGTGTTAATAAATAGCATCGTATTCAATTTTATATACTTAGATAAGTTTGTTATTCCCATCAAAGAAAATTATTTTTAATAAATCGAAATACACTTACTCGTATATAATTTTTAAATATATAATATCAAAAGCCTAAATAATAATCAAAATGTCAAATTTTTCCATATTTTCCTTTTTGGAGTCAATTATTCCGAACTCTTTAGAAGGTTAATATTATAGAATAACGCATAGCATAGATACAAACATTGTATTATATTGATTGAAAGATGATTGAACACTCACAGTGTTTTAAATATGTAACTACATTTTAACAGCGTAGTTATGTAAGTTCATAAGATAAGAGTAAGGTTATGGACTTTTCTATTAAACAGTTCAATGCTACATTTAATTTTTTATTAATTGTTGCGAAAACACACGCTGTAAATATTACGCGTGAATCTGCTACATACGAGAATGTGGTATATTATAGATAGGAGCAGATAAACACAAAACAAAAACAACGCGAACGGAAATGCGAACCGAAATAACCAGATACCGATTTTCATTTATCAATGAGATTATATTCAAATGATTCCTAGATTAAACTAGCTGTTGCCCGCAACTTCGTTACTGTGTTCGTTTCGTTCGTTCTTCGTATTGCGTGAGATGGCAAAGACAATATCCTGTTACTCGTGCATACATCAGTTACTTTCCATTAAAAGGTCCGACAAAATTTGTCCAATCATTTTGGAGACTATCCAAAATAAATTCGAATTTCTGGACTTAAAAATATTTTACATATACGCTCAGATATTTTTTGTTATTGACTAGTAGTATTATTTTATTATTATATACAGATACTCCATTTTTATTAAAAGTAAATGATAGACAGTTATATAATGTTACACCAGGTTTGACGTAACGTCTAAGTTGAAATCTTTCGATTATTATTTACCCTAACGTTACTCAAGCAAGTTCATAAGTAAATTTCGCCTACCCGTTATTTAAAATATTCATAAATTATTCCAATATGCAAACATACTTCGTTAGTAATTTTTTGACCTCGATCTAGCTTTATATTTAGACAAATTTCATTGTCACTGTACTATGTAAAAGAGGGTACGTCATGAAGTTATCTACCGTGACTAAATTTAGTCTTCATAGCAAGAGAAAACAAAAAAAAATCGCATAAAGCAAACAAGACCTTCCACGTTGTTGTCGGCGGCGAGTCTATTGTAACGCAGCGTCGATGAAATTCTAAATATTATGATTTTTTTCTATCCCCGTTTTATTCACGAAATTGGCGTAATATCTATATGTCTTAGCCCATAATCCCTGTGTAGGGGTTTAGTCATTCGAGCTGTGATTTTAATTATTAAACGCGAGATTTGAAATTTTAGATCTTTTCATTATGAAAAACAGTGAAGTCACCCAGAGGTTATGCTTTCAAAAGCAATACATAATACATGCGATGCGACACAGTTCCATTATTTCGTAAGCAGGCAACAGACAATAGGTTGAAATTAAAGAAATAAAATTACATTAGTTTACAGAATTTAAGTTAAAACAAAAGGTTTGATTAACACGAATGTAATATGGATACATGAGAAAACATTTAGCAATATTTTTCGCACAAAATCACTAATTTTTGATTTTTTTTTTATCTTAGAATAAAACTATTTATTAAATTACATTCTTATCAGTGGTAATGGCCATTTGCCGCGAAATTCAGTACTATCTTGTTCATGACCTTTACAAATTAATGATTAGGCGAGAAGCCGGAAAGTCGCGTTTTCTTACTACTCCAATAGCACAAAACAAATCTATTTCACTATATCAAAAGCCCAAAGTTGGTCGTAAAGCTGGTGTTTTATATTGGTATTAAAAGAAAGTATAAATTAGAAAACCGGTACGTTGATATAATGTATAAGCAATAGGACTAGAAAGGGTTTCTTACGCTCTATTCAAAACTAAATACCAAGTGACGACGGCATGCTTTTGGTTGAATAAGTTCAATTTACGAAAGTTTCCCAGCTTTAATATTATTTCTAATACATCTCCATAAAGTGAAAACTATTTAATTTATTTAATACTTACTCAAGTGAAGCGAAATCTTCTCAAATTTGTTAATTAAATAACAATTTAATGTCAATACTTAGTTTGTACTTTCATTCGAAAGTATTTATGTTAACACGCGCGGTAATGATTCATGGTTTCGTGGGCCGATTTGTACCGACACAACCGTACCACATGCTCGCTGGCACGCAACTGGCCTGACGTGATGTTGACGCCGACGTGACCTACGCCGGACGAACGACAAAATACTGAATATTTTTTGTCCGATTGCTCGAGAGGAGGGCAGTTTTTTCGTGGGTATGCTTAGCTAAACGTTATTTTACTGAAATTGAAGACATTTATATTATTTCCCAGAGCAGGTGATAGAGGGTTAAAAAAGCTTAATTTAAGTAGTATAATTTTTTTCAATATGGAGCTTTAAATAGGCTATTATATTATTCTATACAGATCTTTAATATTATTATGACCGTAGAAAGGTAATTTTCAAAATCTTGCTACGAATTATCTGGTATCTTTGGATTTTTCTACCTATTTTATACCTCGCAATAATATTTAGAGCGTCGGTGGCTCAGGGATTAAGCACTTGACTTGCAATCCGGAAGTCCTGGTTTCGAATCCCACCATGTATCAATATGTTTAATTTTCGATTTACATATGCACATTTATCCAACGTTCTTACGGTGAAGGAACATCGTGATGCAACCTGCACATCTGCAAAGAAATTCAAAGATAAGTGTGAAGTCAACCAACCCGCATTGGGCTAGCGTTAAGACCATAGGTTTTCAAAATGGATCTTTATTTCCCTCAGAAATTGTCAATGTAAGACCAGGTCCTCTATGAAATAAATGTGAATGTTCTTAGGAAATCTGAGTTTCCTTTCAATGTCAACAGGATGTCAATAGGATTACTAAAAGCAGATATTAAACTTGATGACAAGCGCGTCACAAAAACATAATGTTAAACGAGTGATTTATTGTTTACAGTAATTGCTATGCATAAATCATGTCGAATACAATATTACAATAATTATTACGAGTTTACGTTTGTTAAACATAATTGTTATATTTCCATGTATTTATCGAAGCGTTTCTTGTAAACTTAACGACCATCATTTGTAAGGAAAACAAAAAAAAAAAGAAATAAGTGAATTCTGTTCGCAAGAAACGCGATTTTAAAGTTGTTATAATTCATCGGGAAATAATATTAAAGATGTTGTTTGCGTTTGTGATCGTCTTAAACCCTAGTATACTGTATGAATATAAGAAAAAAATCTGTCACTGTTATGCACAGGGTCAAAAGGCAATACTATAGGCTCTCATACCATTACTGGGCAGTTATCTTATTTTCGATTTGTTCCGCCAATATTGTATGAAAAATACGTTCGACAGTACTGACATCCTTGTCTTTTAGCGGAGACTGAAAACTGCGCTTCATATGCGTCATGCAAATGTTTTTAATTGAGTATTAAAATAAATTACTAATTCTTTAACCATTCCAGCTAAGCCAGGTTCATGACAACGGTCGAATGGTGGATTCGCTCTACGATCACGTGATGGAATATCCATACCTACGAGACTAATTTAAGCCGTTAAACTTTGGTGTAAAACTGGACGAGACAAAGGAATTCAAGAGGGACAAGTTGACATTTAAATTCTTAAACATAGGGTCAAAGTTTTAAAAGTAGGTCTCATTAAGACAGGACCTACGGAATGTGCATACCAAATATTTCTTTGTCAAAGAAAAACAAACACTTATGAGTCAGGTTCCGTTAGGAAAATTGCAAACAACAATAAGACAATGTAAATTTGCATAAAACTTAACTTGGCATTGTTTTGCTTTCTCGAATTGTTGGAAAATGTAATTTTGTATGTATATGCCATTGTGATACACCCGGTCAAGTATGTTGTCAAAAAGTCAAAACAGGTCATAAGGTTAACTTTGACAATTAGTACGATGTTTTTCTCTAATATTAATACCTTTGGGAAATGCCAAAACGACAGTTTAACCTTGAGACGCGAAACGTAGTTTGTATTAGTGTGTAGTTGTATTTGCGAAAGGTTGTAATAGTAGGGATACGACCAAAGGTTAGAACTAGGTAATGGTAAGCCGACCAAGCTGCTCATACTAACCTATTGGTATGATGCAAATGGAAAAAATTTGATAATTGTCTTAATTGGAATTACCTATATACATCCCTGTTACACGGCAAGTGACATTGTTTCCAATTTTGCAAATAAAATGGGGTACGATGGGGAGAGTTTGTAGTAGCTGCTACTCGTTATTTAACATTTTTTTGCAAATTTTTGTGCTAGAAATAAATTCAAACCATTTCGCTATTTAGAACACGAAAATCTAGTGCAAGTCCTAATAATTTCCCCACATTAAAGAAATCTAGATAAGATACAAAATAAGGTAAAGAAAGCTTTTAATATGAATATTAAACATCCCTTATTTAATGAAGTAATTGTACATTTTAATTTTCTATTATTTTTTTTCCTTTTTACCGATGTTAGAAAATTTATTACTAGCAACAAATTTTCCCCTACCTCCTCTTTGTACAAATTAATGTCCTGGTTAATTAACATCTCTAACGGGAAGCTTGTTCCATATTTGACGCATTTCAACTCCACAGTTCTTCACCTACCACCGTCAGATTAAAATATAATTTTTAATATTTTTTGTGAAACAAATATATGTTTACTTGAACAATGAAGTGGATATTTTATGTTATAGTGTTCATTTATATGTTTTATAGAGCAGGTACTGTTAATAATGATTTTAATATAATATAAAAAGAATATAAAGTTGGCAACAGTCCTCAAAATAACTAGCACAAAACATTGTATTAATTTTAAAATTAGACATCCATATTCATAAATTTTTTACAGTCTTTAAATAAAATCATAAATGTATTATTTAAATTAAAATACTTACATTTAGACTATTTTTAAACTACTATTCTTACAGTTTATGGAATAAAACCAAAAGAATTGAACAGTTTGTCGGTCGAAGAAATTAAATATGGACCTGACAAGCATTACTACCCAGCCGGTATCCGTAAGACGATTAGCTGTAAAGGGGCAAATAAAAACCAAAAGGTAAGTTTTTTGCGTAAAATTTCTTGTGATGAATACAATTTTGTAGATCAAAGAAACAAAAAAATAATATTTACGCCAAAGAGTTCAGATCGTTATTCATTAATATCTAATAATATAATCATTTCTCTATCTATAATAATATGATTATTCATATGTCTTATAATATAATCAAAATCTGGATTTTTTTTTACATTGTGTTTTTTGTAAATTATATTTAAGTACGAATTACTAATGAAATGATGAAATATGAATAATATTTTTCGATCTTACCGATAGAAAAAGTTAAGTTTATGTTTAAGTTGATTATCGATAAAACACGAATAAAATGACATTTTCTAAAAATGATTCCTAGCTAGATATATTTATCGCCTCCGAAACCCCCCATATACTAAATTTTATGAAAATCGTTGGAGCCGATTCCGAGATTCCAATTATATATATACAAGAATTGCCCATTTAAAGATATAAGATTATAATAGTAAAAATTAAAAAATGATATATTTTGACGTCGCGTGCAATAATTATTGCTCATAACCATTTTAAATTTCGAATTTTAAATTTCAACCGTTTTGTTTCTTAAATTATCTTTGACATTTTTCATATAGGTAAAAAAGATTTAGAAAAAGAAGATTATTATTTATTTTTTCTGTGTCCCTTTTTAAGGTGGAATGGGTAGATCCGAACGGTAAAATTATTAAAAGAGTATCGAAGAACAGAGTGTTTGTACAAGAACACTTTGTGCCAACATCGACGCTGCGCACGCGTGTTCCGGCGCTGGTGCTTGTTCTTACACATGCTACAGTTGACGACAGTGGCCTCTGGGAGTGTCGATCAGGAGACATCAAGCGCAACGTATCCCTCTGTATTATAGGTACTACATTTCTTAATTACGAACTTCACATAGAATAAATGTTCTACATTTCCTGTATCTTTTTTTCTGGTTATAAAAAATTACTCTGTTTAATTTTCTCCTAGATCCGTCTAAATTTGTCGACACACCGACAGAAGTGAGCGTTGACAAAGGTCGGTCTATAACATTGTCCTGTCAGGCTCGAGGGGAACCGGAGCCGAGGTTGATTTGGTACAGAAATGGGGAATTGATAACAGGTACGTATAAAAACTCTTTAAACATTTCATAAAGTAAGGTACGAAAATGGCGCCTAAAAATAATATTAGCAAAATATAAAAAATAACATCTTATTATTTTTAGAGGATGAAGAATCTGATAAATATAGGGTGATGACGAAATACAACAGTCAAGGGTTCGAAGGTCTGTTGACAATAAGTTCTCTGGAGGCGGAGGACAGTGGTGTTTACACTTGCGAAGCCATTCAAGAGAGTCCGCACGACTCCAGCTGCGCCAATACAGAGAGCTTCAATATTACATTACAAGTCAACTGTAAGTATAAATAAATAATGACTTCCCAACGTAACCCGGAGTCAGGTGGGGTAGAATGGCATAGCAACTATGTCAGTACTTTTTGATAATCCTTCTTCCCCTTTGTCACATTTTGATATTTTTTACGTTGAAAAATCGTTCCAAACTCTGTTATGGTAATTTAAAATTAATAATATATTAATAAACTCTAAAATCAATTTATCACAATACTGGACATAATTATGCAGGTAATAAAATATTAAATCTCGTCGATACAGTAAATTGACAAACAGCGACATCTTTCCCAGTGCCGTAGCAAGATCCTAAAGTTGCCTCAGAGAGTTGTGAATAAATAAACAGATGGTACCGCTGTTATACCCATTTTTAATCAAAGTATTTTCAGATAATAGATAGCGCTGCATTTTGTTGCAGCTAAACTAAGAACTAAAGTAATTCTGTAAAATATTTTCGGTGATGTAACAAATTAACTAACACTTAATATTCACAAACTTTTATGAGTACTATATTATTTTTGTATGGATCCACATTTTTTATAATGTGGTAACAATTGAAAGGGAACATTAGTAATCATTTTGTTAAAATTATTAACTTTGGAGTGTCTGCATGAAATTAAAAAAAAACATACTCATGATGTATTTATGTTCCTTATATCGAGAAACAGATTTTTTACATTTTTGTCTGTCTTTATGTTTGCAACTCGATCTCTCTGTGTTTTCGATCGATCAAATTTACTGAAAGGTAGCTTATTTTTGCGTAAGAAACTTATCTTTTTTAATGAACCTCTAGTTTAAATAAAATAACGTAACAATTCGGCTATCAGCTCTCAGCATCTCGTTGTGATTTCACTCGTTGATCAAACCAATATTAATTATTGAATGCTTTGGGTAGCCCGCAATTAATAACATAAGTACGGATATATTGCTACAAGTGCTGTTCATATGACAGGTCCGGAATTTAACCTTTTATTGTTTAAATTACTGCAGTTAATTAAATTAATACATTATCTTTCACGGTCTATGATTATTAATAAACAAAGGTCCCATATCACGTTTAGGATTGTGTGTACCAGATGAACACTATTAAAAAAATATGCGTTTATTCGGCCTTTGTAATTATGACAACTTCCGGTTATAGTATTGGAGGATGTTAAATGTGTGTTAATTAGTGGCATACTTAACAGAAACGGCCTTTAAAATTAACTGATGAAACATTAAATTGTCTGTTTTAGATGCTCCCGTGTTCGCGGATGCCAACGAAACTGAAATTGTTTATCAACTAGAGAATGAAAGGTACTAAATATATTTAGGTATTGAAATTATTCAACGTTTAGTGTTTCAATTTTTGGTCCTGAACAATGATTAACTCCGGTGTTTCGATTTTTCTTCATATCAAGTATATACGAGAAATTATTTAGTTAAATATTTGTTTCAGTGTTGACGTAGTATGCTCAGCTAGCGGATTTCCGACACCGACTTACACGTGGTTCAGGGATTTAGGCGAAACTCTGTTTGAATTCCCCGATGAACGAGTTAATCTGCAAGACGGCTCTAAAGCCGTGTTGACACTACCTTCTAATGCGACCATATCCTCACGAAGGTATAAATGTCGGGCGACCAACCAATATGGAGAGGCTTATAAAGTATTTGTCATATACAAATTGGAAAGTCCTACGAAACCCAGCGAGGTAAAGAAAAGTTTAATTTTAACGCGTTCAATCGACAAAAAGCGACAACGATTATCCCATCAAATGCGCAATAGAATACAGGTAAAGATTAAAACGACATTATAAATTCAGAATTGTTGAAGTCTAACACATTTATAAATAATATTAAGAAAACATACGCCAATGCATGTGTTTAGGGATGTACATAACAAGGAATATGTAAGCCCAAATATATATTTAATGTCGTCCATCTAAAACAGGGGAACCAGGTATAAGTAAATAAAGAGACGGGATTTCTTTTTTTTTGGTATTTTGACTTAAAATGTATTATTTCAGATAACGGGTCAAGTAGCACACCATGACAACGTTTATCTATATGTTAAATGGGCTGAAGAGATGTCATTCCCGGTAAAAGGTAATTCGAAAGCATTCTATAAAACTTAAAATATTAACAAGTAAGGAAAAAACTATATATTCTGGGAATCTTTCTTTTAACAGCCATAGAGGTTCAATATCTCGAAAAGGGAAGTTTGCCAAGAAGGAAAATAGAAAGTCTTAGAGAAGGAGATTGGAGAAAATCTAAGAAAGTAGAAATAGATTTGGAGTCAGCCGAGGATGTGGAAGCGGACAGTGAAGGTAAGTACATACATTTTTATAGAAATCACAATTGCACATTTGTTAAATAAAAGACACACACGGGCAAAAAAAATGTAATAAAATTCAATGAAACTCCTAATATTTTATTCTTATCAAGATGGATTTTAAAAATAGTTACGTTATGCATTAAAATATTAATTTTAGGGTTCTATTTTACTCTGTCTGATTTGGAATCGGATACTGAATATTGGATACGTTTGCGGGCTATCAATGAAGCTGGAGAGTCACCTTGGTCGGAACCAGCACTCGTAAAAACTGTTGAACAAGTTGAAACTGAGGAACCCGAAGAAGAAGCTAAAGAAGAAAGTAATGAAGAGACTAGTGAAGATACAGATGAGAGTGCAGTCCCTGCTGGTTTGGCTTACTCTGATGCCACGTTTTATGGCGTTTTCTTTGCTGGTGGTATCGTTGTTTTTGCTGTAGCTTGCATGTTTTTGATGAGATTAGTATAATATTATGCAATGGAAGTAGTAATTTGGGAATATTTGAATTAAAAATATTGTATGAATTATTTGTTCTATTATCTAAAAGTGGCTGAAATAAAACATTGATTATTACTAAAGGTTAGTTCCTTTCTTTATTATAGAATACCAGTGGAACTAAACCTTTAGTAATGAACTGTAACACATTAGGAAACTATTATTCAACCTATATCATCGCCGAAAAATTATTTGTAATTTGTAAAGCAATACCAATTTGTCTAATTAAATTATTTATCTGTACTTGATAACCTTTGGAACATTCTTTAAACAGAATATAAGCGAAAAGTGAAGATATATCATGAATATGATTTAATTTTGAAAGCTGTTTTAATATTAACACCAGCATGAATGGAGCGGTTTAGTTATAACCGAGCACATCAATTCCAGTTGAAGGCACATATTACACCAAACATTAAATCAGCGCGCCTGGAGGTCTTGATACAAATTTAGTAATAAATGTATTACAAATTGCTTAGTGTGAATATTAATATTTGTAACGTTTAAATAGATTTTTCGACCATATAATGTTTAGACTTCAATAATAAAGTAATATTTTAGAATATTGTTATAAGTGCGTCAAGGCCTAATTTAGTTCTCTTTCCCTTCCCACCCTTTTTCTTATAAGGAAAGGATGGGAGTGAAGTGGAATTTCCGGATGAGAGGATGCATGGGAAGGGAAAATATTTTCTTTCTGTGAATCTTCTCCTCCGTCGATTAACGGTAGACAACGCATATGCAATTGCGTATGTGTATGGGCAACGGTCACTTCGCTACTTCAGCGATTTCAGGTGACCGCTTGCTCGTTTTCCACCTTATGATATAAAAAAAGGCTAAATTACAACGTAAGCTTTAAGGTACGAAGAAGTCATTGTTGTTATTACAACAATAAAGGGATTAGTCGAGAAAGGAAGAAACCTAAAAGGAAGGAATGACAATGAATTTTAATTAAAACTTCGTTTGTCGCAAATTAAGCTTGAATTTTGAAGACTTAAAATATTTTTATTCGTTTTCGATCAATTTGCATACCGGGAAGCTACCTTTCTGAATTAAAGATGATAATTTAAAACTACACAAATATCTTAATAGCTCTACAATAATTCTTCAACAAATATATTTTGAGTAACGCACAGTAATTAAGTTGTACGCAAACTCATCTTACGTATTATTCCCACGTCGACAAACATTAATTTAACTTGGTTCATAAGCTTCGAATTGACGTTTCCATCTTGGTATAAGGAAACCGATTTTCCATAGCGGTTATTACATTATTATAGTTTAAAATACTTAAGATCAAACCAATTACAATATTTCAATGTTTCTTAACTGTTATATTAATATCCTGTGTTAAGTTTTATTTAAATTGCTATATCGATGTTGGGACAGTCATGCTTACCGACCGACTAATATATTTGACGATCCGATGACGAAGTTCTTGTGGCTTGCCAGATGTTACCGATATAATTTATAGACGGATCTATAGGGCCTGTTTGCTCCAATTTCCTTATCACGAAATTCCAAGTACTGACGAATCAATTTTTGTATGCTAATATTTCAAAGAGGCAATATTTGATTGTTTGTTCGTTTGCATTGAATAGGCTTTGAAACTACTAAACGTTTTAAAAAAAACTTTTCATTGTTGGGAAGCTACACTATCCCCGGATGATATAGCCTATATTTCTTAATAGATTCTTTTTATCTCCACGATGGCAAAGTCGTGGAGAACTGCTATTATGAAATGAAGACATTAGCTGTGTTAACATCATGGCATTTATAAAAGCTAAAGCTTTCTTTATTAGTTGGTTAAATTTATTATTTATATTTATAAATAGAGCACACAAGTAAGCTATTCCGGAAGTAATTTTACTTTACAAAAGGCCAATCCAATTTATGGTCCGCAGAGTGTAATAATGGATGTATACATTTTATATTGAGTCCAACGCTACAAGGACTTTGTGTTTATAAAATGAGCTAGAATAATCGCATCATATAACGTTCTTTCATGTTTATGTATGTATTAAAAACTCATGTATTTTAAATACATTTATATAGAATAAATTATACAATGACCAATTTTTTACAATTATACAACGACGACTCCCGGCGTATGGAGTAAGACAATCTGATTTTTCACGAGAACCTATTGTTATTTCATGACATTGCACAGCTACACTGATAGTCTTAATGTATGTATGTTTATTCAACACTAAGGTGTGAACTTAGTTATCATTTAGCGAATCGATCTGATATGCAACTCGAATCCAATGAATATTTAATTTCATACATCTTAGAAGTTAATTGAAACTTTAGAATGTTATTACTTAGCCTCACATATCAAAGCTCTCAGGTTCTTAGAATTAGAAAATCCATTAGTGTTATTAGTTGTATATTATGACTATTATCTTAATAAGATTGTCCCAAACTGATATATAAACACGGCTAAACACTCACGTATATTCGTCCGGTGGCGGCACCGACTAGTTTCGAGCCCATCGGGGGCCCTTCATCAGGATGAGTGGCACTGGTATTATTTCGCGGACGCGGCCCGTCGCTCACTCACGTGTTTATATATCAGTTTAGTATAATGTCTCACGAAAGTTTGAATAATTTAAGATTGTCCCAATTATTTAAATAATGTTTTTCTTTACATCTAGAGATGCTACTAGGCCAGATGTGTCAAATATATAATTTTGCTAAATTATCAAAATAGCCAAGACCGCAAATAATCTTATTTACACATTATTAGGTGGGGCGTTCCCACATATGTTGTTGCTGACGTCAACTACTCTTAAAATTATCTTACAATTAAGTGCAAACAATTATTAAATATGATAATTTAACAAACAGGTACAATGTTTTATTTGTATCTGTAATACGGATCATTTAATTGCGAACGAAATGAAATACATTTATACAATTGCTAGAGTTTTGAATAAACGAACAAAGTTTATAATGCATCACGAACTGCAATTTATTTTCGATAGCGAAACTGTACGAGTAATGGGAGGTAACAGATTTTAAAATATTATTTTTATTGAATTGTGTGTTCTATTTTTGAACAACGATAGTGTTAAGAATTAAAAAAAAAGTTTTCGTTTTATCTAATACTTATCGACGCTATGTTTTACTTCTTACTAATATTATAAATGCGAGTGTTTAGATGGATGTTTGTTTAGAGGTATCTCCAGAGCAACTCAACGGATGATGAAATTTGGCACAGATGTAAAACATAGTCTGGAACAACACTTTTTTAACACCGCGCGGACGGAGTAGCGGGCCACAGCCAATTAACTATGAAATAACCATAGTAAATATGCATTTTATATAAGTTTGTCTATTGTATGATGATGATGCTTTGTAACAGTAAGTACTTAAGAGATTTTTATAAGTACACAACTATATTTAAAACTTGTACATTTAATCAGATCTTTACAACAAAGTAAATATTGACCTAAAGTTTTAACATATTAATTTCTATTCATACTAGTTGTCACCCGCGACTCCGTCCGCGCGGGATTAAAAATAGATGTTGGCCGATTCTCAGACCTACTCAATATGCTTACAAAATTTCATGAGAATCGGTGAAGCCGTTTCGGAGGAGTATGGGGACGAAAATTGTGACACGAGAATTTTATATATAAGATAAAATGTCCGTGAGTTTTTTACACAGGCACAATTTACATATGTGTTTAGTTATCACAGTATTCATGGATATTATATACTTGGCTAGGAACACATTGTAATCTGCATTAAGTAGCAAAGTAGAACGGTTAAGCGTTATTGTAAAATGAACGCAAGCATGGATGTTAAATAAAGCGCGGTTTACAACACAGAAATAATTAATGAAATTAGTTTATATAGTATCTTTATTGCAAGTTTTTTGACATGTATTTTAGAATATATAAATAAAAGCTTTCGCCCTCGCTGGATTATAAAAAAAACTTAAAAGTAGCCTACGTGTTCTTTCTGACTATGTTCTACATATATGCCAAATTTCAGAGAGATCCGTTCAGCCATTCCGGAGATACCTTCAAACAAACATCCATTTATCCATCCATCTAAACATTTGCATTTATAATATTAGTATGATGTACCTAAATTTTATTTACTATCAAAACAATAAATCAAGAATAGAATAAGAAACAAATATTAGCATGTTTCTAGTAAGTCTCTTGAGCATTAATTATTGTATGATAATTAATGTTTTATTTGTCTGTACTCTATTAATAACGAGGAAAGGGAATTCTTCAACAGTACGAAAATTATTATTTTTTCATTGCTTGATGTTTCTTCATTGTGTGCCTTTTCCTTCTCGGGTGATGTTTTTTCTATTATGTTTGATTAGAATATAATATTGTAATATTAACTAGTTGACTGTTTATAATGAAAATATTAATAAACTTTGTTAACGGTAAATTTTGACGTACGGTTGAACTAAGCATGTAACCAATTTTTTTAACATGTGAAAATTTATCATTAATTGAAAGTATTACGTTATCGTTTTTACCTAACTAAACAATATATTCAAAAACATATATTCAGTTTTAATAAAAAATTTAAAATTTAGTAGATAGAAACCCATCGTTACATATAAGACACAGAAGCAAAATCTAGGGCTTATTGTGTAAGACCATTGTGGTAAACGGCTACGTAACATGTTTAATTAACCAAGTTCGGACTACTCCGTTAAATTAAGTGAACACGGATGTTACAGTTTTCCATTTTATTATGTACATCCGTTACAAGATATTTTAATTAGGATTTCATCATCAGCTTATTATACGACCCCACCGAGGGGCTCGGACCCCACCCTTTTTTTCCAGAGAGGAATGTTTTATGCTTACTCCGCGCCCCGGGGGGGACGCGGTAGTTATGTGGGATTCTCCTCCATAGCGGAGGCATACCCACTAAACCTTTCTGTTCCTCCAACGCATCGGGACGGGGCCACGGGCACGCTTTCGCTCTCGGAGCTTACCCTAAGTTAAAGGTGATTAGGCCATGGTCAATCACGCTGGCTAAGAGCGGGTTGGTTGACTACACACATATCTTTGAATTTCTTCTCAGATACGTGCAGGTTGCATCACGATGTTTCCTTCGACGCAAAAACTTAGGATTTACAAAAAAATATAAGGATGGAAACAATGGGTCGTACATGCTCGATAATCTTGCCTGACCTTAAGCAAGTTGTATTGAGACTTGGATGGTATTCACGTTCGGTCACTTGCTTTAGTTCGAGCATGTATGTACCCACCTTAAGATCTTACTCGTGACGCTTTTCATTTATTTAATGACTTATTACTATGGAGTACAAAATGTGCATAAAGCTATATTAAAGTAGTCATCTGGGAAGATAGAGATAATATTAAAATATTTGATACAATTTCAATTGTTTATTATAGTGTACCACGCTTTATTTTATGTTTATCGATTCACAAATTTATCTTGTTCTTATTAAACACGGGCAATAAAATACAAAGACTTATTATGTGGCAGATTTAAAGATACGGAGTTTCACAATTTTTATT